CTCAGCCTCGAAAACAACTCCCCGTGCTTGCTTTGAATTGTTTGTTGTCTTTTCATCCACATAATTCTGGTGGAATACAAAACTTATAAATATCTATATACTCTGCCAATGGTACGCCAGGTCCATCTCAATAACTTTCCAGCTGCTAACCTTGGAATATCCCCAGTCATCAATTCTCCGCCAGATAGTGGCAGGTCCAAGACAACAGCACTCAGAAGCAGGGCTAGATCTCTGCTACGTGACAAACAATGGTAGCATACTCATCACTTCCACACTGGAACATGCGCCCCCATTAACATAGCTCACAGTCATCGCAACCTCCGGTCCATCAGCAACATACCCACAGCGCGCCTACCGCAACCCCCTAGACGCGCTAGTCAACTTCCTCGACACTAAACATGGCGCAAACTGGTGCATTTGGGAATTCCGCGCCGAAGGCACAGGATACCCCGACTCAGAAGTCTACGGACGCATCCACCACTTCCCCTGGCCAGACCACCACCCACCACCATTCGCGCATATTCCCAACATTATGGGCAGCATGCGGAACTGGCTGCAACGACTAGACAAGGAGAAAGAGTCACTTGACACGGACAAAAACGAACGGGTCGCCGTCGTACATTGCAAAGCAGGAAAAGGACGCAGCGGGACGATCGCGTGCGCATACCTGATCAGCCAGGAGGGGTGGAAGAAGGAAGACGCGCTGCAGCGATTTACAGAACGGCGCATGCGTGTCGGCTTCGGGAACGGCGTTAGCATCCCGAGCCAGCTGCGGTATGTTGGGTATATCGATAAGTGGGCGAACGAGATGGGGAAGCAGTATGTCGAGCGGCCGGTGGAGATCCTGGAGGTTCATATCTGGGGATTGAGGGATGGGGTTAAGGTCGCAGTGGAGGGGTACGTACATGAGGGGAAGAAGATTAAGTGTTTTCATCTGTTCCATCGGCATGAGCGTACCATCTTTGAAGACGGGGGCTCGACGTCTGGGGAACAAGAGATTACCAAGCCAAGCCCCAGCTCGGACCCTGAGGTGAAGAGACTAAACATAGAGAGCCCATTTCCTTCGTCTGCGACCTGGTCCCCGACGGTATCGGGATCTGACGTCTCCGGCTCGTCGTCCTCGGCGGGCCACAGTGTCTCAGCAGTGATCTTCAAACCCAGCGAGCCACTCATTGTCCCCAGCTCGGATGTGAACATCGACTTCGAGCGCCGCAGCAAAGCATCATACACAGGTTTCGCGATGGTAACCTCCATCGCCCACGTATGGTTCAATCCGTACTTCGAAGGCGGAGCCGAGCACGACTCGGGCGTCTTTGAGACAGAATGGGACGCGATGGACGGGATTAAGGGGAGCGCAAGGAAGGGGATCCGGGCGTTAGACAAGCTGAAAGTTGTGTGGCGGTATCCGGCGGCGGAGACTGTGGAAGCCAGTGGAGCTAGCAAGAGCAAAGTCAAAGGGAAGAAGAGTGAGGATAGCGCGACAGCTGCGGGAAGGCCCGTCAGCGAGCCGAAACCCGGTGATCCCATCCATGAAAGCGAGCCGCCTGACTGGCGCGGGCTGCCGCAAGGGTATAAGAAGGAGAATCGGCGTCCTTCTGAGAGTTCGTCGAAAAAGAGTACTGCTGCGAGTATCACGGACAAGAATAAGGAGCTAGGACATGCGCTGGAGAAGGAACTTGGGCTGCTGGAGCAGACAGATGAGAGTCGGGATGTTAGTCTTGCTGGGAGTGATGATGATGAGACGACTACTACCACCGATGATGAGGGCCTAAAGGTCAAAATCAAGAAGGTTCATATTGAAGGGCTTGAGGGGGTGAAGACGAATTATGCGAAGAATGGCGAGGGAGCAGGTAAAACAGATCAGAGCTCTGATGAGTCGAGTGGGAAATAGTATTAGATAGAGCTTGTACAAGTGCATAAGTAATACATAGTGCATAGTGCATCTATGAATATACCATTGAATTGATTATGTATTCTAGGTTTGGTGGTTGTCACATGTCATTTACTCTGTACTTCACATAAATGAAGGGATATCGCAGCTCGCTAGGAACGTGATGAGTGTGAAATCTAGATATATCAGGTTCTATCCAACTCAAATCAATAGAAAATGAAAACAAAAAAGAAAGGAAAGGAAAGGACAGAGGTATGCGAGGTAAAACTGTCAAAAAAGCGACGTCTATATGTCTATATGCACGACGGCGTGGTATTGGATGCAACTTCAACCAGAGTCAGGTTTGGTCCGGTGGTAGTTGACTGGGCTAAAAGAGCGCAGAATCATAGAGGCACAAAGCCTTCCATCTTCGTAAACTCTGCCGCCTCCTTCTGCAGACGATCGGATTTCTTGCGCTCATAGACAGCACGGACAACACGGCGAGTCTGCTCCTCACCCTCAGAGAAGTTCGCCTTTGCAAGACCAACGACGGAATCAACCTGCTCAGGTGTATAGATGAAGTTCCAAGTAGACAGGAAATCATCAACTTCAGGGTCGATCGAGTTGGGGTGTGGAGTAAGAGGCAGTTCCGGGTCCTTAGTTTGAGACCTATCCTGTCGCATGGACTGAGCAGCTGCACGCGGACGAATTTTAGGGTTGGGAGGGATGTCTGGTGCGGAAGGATTGGGAATCAGAGGGAAGTAGATAACTGCGATGCCGGCATCTGGTCGCATCAGGTGGAACTCGGATTCAGAATGGTCTTCGCTGTGGGGAGAATCAAAGAGACGTTTGGATGGCGGAGGCTCCTCGGTCGAGGTTCGCTCTTCCGTGGTGCCGACCCAAACGTTGCAATAGCCTAGGTCTGTGCCGGACTTGTGTTTTTGATCAGCGGGCTGACTTCCAGAGTTATTCTTGGCGTCAGCAAGTTTCTTTGTTAGTTGCTCCTCAGTGATGTTTTCTGGCTCGCGCAGGGCGTTCTCGGTATCCTTGAGGCTCGAGTTTTTAGGCCATCCAGCGCCGACGGGCCAACCCTTGACACCGCGTTGCCTGGCGTACCCATCGACCACAGAAAGCCAGTTCTCCTCTTTGACATCCGCAGACGCATCAAATGCGATAATTACATCGACATTACGCCCAGGTCGAAGGAGTGGGTATATTGGCAGGTTGTTACTCATTCCCGCATCCATGAGACGCAAATGCTCGCTTCGGAAGATCGACTCTGGACAAGAGTCGGGCAGCTGATCTTTCATGCCCATGACGTAGTTGGGTATACCCGCCGGGTCGATGGGATGCACCTTGATCAAGTCTTGGTTCTTGCCTTGGATGAGAGAATCGATTCCACCAAATCCAGCCAGGCCTCTGACCAGAGGCCGGATCTCCTTGTAATAGTGAGACAAAGTCGCGCAGAAAGCGCTACCCCAAACACCCATGAGCCCGGGAATTCTCAACTCCGGGATGGGGAGATTCTCAGCGGAAACCTCGGAGCGGCCTGCGTTGAAGTGACGTCCCAAAGCCCAAGTGGGAATACCGGCATTGAGTTCTTCACAAAAGAATTCGTACGGAGTGAACTCAAACCATTGGAACCATGCTTCATTTCGTGACTCTTTCACCAGCTGTTCAGGCGTCGGATGCTTCTTGGTCTGGTCGTTTTCGTGTTCGACAGCCTCGATAGGAATCTCATGCCGCACCGCCGTGTAGATGGGGAGCGGATGAGCCCCATTTATCAAATTGGCTCGCTGGTTCGACAACTTGAAATCCACATCGGAAACTCCCAGTTCTCCTCGCGGGACCAAGAGTCTCGCTGCGAGCAGCAATCCGTAAATATCTACCAACCCAAAGTCCGCCCCAGGGTCACCTTTCAACTTTTCCACAAAACCACCGAGAAGGTACTTGTTTGTCGGAGCAGTAGTGAGGAGATTAAGAGCTGCCGGCGGGAATGCAATGTGAACACCAAGACGATTCTTCAAATGGTCGACAAGCTTGTCGAAGTCTCGCTGCGCAATGGACGAATGATAAAGCGTCTGCAGCCAGCAGCTGCCACTGACACCAGCTGTGTAGGTAATACAGTCCCACAGTCCTGCTTCCTGTGCTGCCAGGTAAGATCCGGTGCCTGCAACTAGAGCGCGCAGACCACCTCCCGAGCCACACATCGCAATGACCGGTACATCATCGGGGTGGATGTCCTTCTCGGGTATGTTGAGGTAGGATGACAATGCTTTTACAACCTTACGTTGCCTTTGTTGCCTAAATGCCTGCTCTTCATCGCATAGATCCCCACTTACGCGTACCTCGGCGTCGCGGAGAATCTCAGGGTGGATATCGGGGTCCCGTGCCTCCTTCCAGATATCGTCTGCTAATGAGCCGGGCGACAGGGAGAGCTCTCGCTGGAGCTTTTGGGCGGTAGCTGGTAAAAATCGTGTCCAGTCTGGGATAATGTAGTCTGTGATGCTACCCACATCTGCCCACTCGCCCGAGCTAACAGTTTGCTTAACCTCATCGAGCTTTTGGCCGATGTTGTTCCAGATAGACCCATCGGGCTTGCCCTCCTCACCAAGTCCATCTGAGCCCGCATTGGACTTGTTGGACTCCGAATCGTTGTTGTATCGTGTTCGAGAAGTACTGTATTGAGCTCTTGATTGTCTAGGTTGAGACCATTCCCCCGCAGTGTATGCGGCTAGGGCAGCGGGGGGTACCGTCCACAGACGAGGCATCCTTGCAGCGCCCATTATAGACAGGGAGCTTAGGGCAAAGTAAGAGGCCCGGTGCATCCAGTGGGGTCCATTGAAGGACTCCCAGACCCCTGCCTGCCTTTTCTTGCAAGCCACCCGTTAACTGGGCAGGCCCCGATGCATGACGTCGTACATTCACGTGATCTGCAAGCACGTGACGAGGACGGACTGGGCCGCTGGCTCCTTTCGGACTAGCGTGACGGAGCTCCTTATCACTGGATGGAGCTTGGAGGGGACAATCAATCCATTGCATTTGCCCTCGAAGGACACGAGGGGTCCTGGTGACATGTGATATGGTCTCTCTAGATTGATTCCGCCTGAACTGTATTCCGATATTAACCATGGTGGCACCAAGGAATACCGCCTATGCCGAGGAAAGCGCGGAGGTCGAGGTCCTGTATGCGAACCTTGAGAAACTCAACCGACTCACGAAGAAGATACAAGGCTCCATGGTACGCCTGGAGACAGGAGGAAAAGTTGTCAAAGAAGCCATTGGTCCCATTTATAGCAACACCCAATCCCTCCAAATCACCAACAGCAACATCGACAAGGTCAACGACGCCATCGATCGCCTGCGCCAACCTCTCGATGCAAAGAACCGAGAAGATGGCATAATTCGCGCAGGGTATGTGCCTTCTTATTCCCTTTGGGCATACGACCGCGAGTCTTTTGCTGACCGTTCTCCAGGCCACAGAGCTCCGGCCTCACACCGTACCTGTCGGCGATGAAACGTGTTGAAAAGGCGCTGGTCGACCTCAGCACAACAAATCTGCGATCAAACCAGAATGCGATAACTGACTTCAACTCCCTTCTAAACACCGGAAGCTCAAAGCTTCAAGAACTGCTACGGGGAGAACTGAGCCAGCATTCCACTCCGGTTGAGCCCCTACACTATCTGACCAAGGGTATGCATATGACGGCCAAACAAGCTAAATCAAAACTAATGCACCGCGCTTCTAGATCTCCCCTTTCCATCCATACCCGAAGAAACTATTTCCCATATGGCGCCCTTGTGCTCGGCGGTCGGCTCCGCATCCATTCATGGATCTCAGCGCGGCAAGGGGGATAACCCCGCGCTGAAGGTGTATGCGGAAGTACGAGGACCGTACATCGCATCCAGCTTGCAGAATCTCGCCATTGCATCCCTCAATACTGTCAAACGGCGACCCACTGATGGCCCTTACAAGCAGGGTACCAATGGTATTGGTATCTACTCTAACGCGCTGGAGGCCTTCATAACTACCGAGCACAGTATTATCGTGCAGATGTTTACCGGAGATCAGCAAGGCCTGGCGTTGCAGGCTACCTTCTTGCCGGCTATGGGCGAATATTCCAAAACGCTACGTGAGCTCAATCAGTATATAAAGGCAAATCTGATGACGGACTGCTTCTTGGCTTTTGAGATCATCGAGATTGTGACTGCAACGTCCTATCGAATTGACTCGAAGGCCGCGGAACTGAAGAGCCTCTTGATCGAGGCTCTTCGGCCTGTACGCGAGACTGCAAAGTCGTCTCTTTCCGAATTGATTGAGGAAACGAAGCGCAAAGCTGGTGGCACGCCACTCCCCCCGGACGGTGGATCGGTGCCTCTCGTGGAGGAAGTGATGAGCTCATTGGCCACACTGACAGGATACTCTGGTCCCTTGGCTTCTATCCTGACATCTTTGGGAGATGGAAACTGGCGTGCCAAGTCCAACACCGCCGGCTCGGCTCCTCTAGATGTAGGTCCAGACAGCGGCACACTTCTGTCGCATTTTATTCTAGACATGATCGAGGCTTTAATGACCTCCCTGGAAGCTCGAGGTCGGGCTTTCCATCGATCCAAGGCAGCGCTTGGTGTGTTCTTGTCCAACGTGTTCTGCGTGGTCGACCGGTCGATCCGACAGAGCCCAGAGCTGGCACGTTATTTGGGCACCCCAGACAGTATCGCCCGGATCGATACTTTCCGCAAGCGCGCGACGTCTACCTATCTCGATGCATGGAAGGAAACATCCCAATACCTTCTTGACGTGCAGTATACCTCCCGTGGGGCGCAACGCAATTCTAGCGGCAACGTGGATTCAAGTGCCATCGTCAAGTCCCTGTCGTCCAAGGATAAGGATGCGATTAAGGACAAGTTCAAAGCATTCAACGCGAGCTTCGATGATATGGTGTCTCGGCACAAAACTCTTCACATGGAGCGCGAGGTGCGCACTGCGCTGACTCGTGAGCTGCAGACTGTTCTCGAGCCCTTGTATGCGCGCTTCTATGATCGATATGTGGAGATCGACAAAGGCCGTGGCAAATACATCAAGTACGACAAGGCAAGCCTATCGGTACAGCTGGCGCAGTTGGCTTGATTTTCTTGGGCGAAGATTGAAATCACAAAGGATGTCATTTATACGAGCTAATATCATAATGTATGCCATGACCAAATCTGCCTTTCCTACTGGTGGATCAGCGCCAAAATAATGTATGGTGTCATGTGACAAGTAGATCATCTCCGATAACGTGACTGATAAGCCCCGCTAAAACCGGACTGCAGCAAAATTCCTTGCTCGCACATTGCTCTGTCCCTGTCGTATCCTCCGTCCCGTTGCTCAATTCTCCGTTTGAGTGCCTCAGACAAACACCGACGCAATGTCCGGAAGCAACGATCTCTACCAGACCCCCCTCAACTCGCGCTATGCGAGTAAGTGGTCCCAATTGCCCCTCCTATAGAGGGGCAAACTCGGAAACTGTATAAATCGGGATTAACCATAGTCAATTGATCAGGCAATGAGATGAAGTACCTCTTCTCACCCCGGAAGCGCTTCTCCACATGGAGACAGCTTTGGACCTGGCTCGCGGAGGCTCAAAAAGGTACGGGAGAGTCGAGCCTCGACCGAGATCGGAGGTAGTTGAAGCAAGACATCCGAACTGACTGAATCATGGCTACAGAGCTTGGACTTCCTATCAGCGCCGAGGCCATTGAGCAGATGAAGGCCCACGAGGTTATCCAGGATGACGAGTTCGCCGTTGCCGCCGAGGAGGAGAAGCGCCGGAGACACGATGTTATGGCCCACGTCCACGCCTTTGGCCTGGTTGCCCCCGCTGCCGCCGGTATCATCCACTGGGGTGCCACCTCGTGCTACTGTACCGACAACGCCGATCTGATCCTGCTCCGTGACGGTCTCGACATCCTCATCCCCAAACTGGCTGTTGTCGTCGACAAGCTGTCCCAGTTCGCTCAGAAGTACAAGGACCTTCCTTGCCTGGGCTTCACTCACGGCCAGCCCGCCCAGCTGGTGACCGTTGGCAAGCGTGCTTGTCTCTGGATCCAGGATCTGCTGATGGACCTGCGCAACCTCGAGCGTGCCCGTGATGACCTGCGCTTCCGTGGTGTCAAGGGTACCACCGGTACTCAGGCGTCTTTCCTGCAGATCTTCAACGGTGATCACGCCAAGGTCGAGAGCCTGGACGAGCTTGTTACTGAGAAAGCTGGCTTCAGCTCTGCCTTCATCATCTCCAGCCAGACATACTCGCGTAAGATCGATGTTGATGTCGGCAACGCTCTTGGTTCTTTCGGTGCTACCTGTGAGCGCATTGGCATTGACATCCGTCACCTTGCCATGCTCAAGGAGGTTGAGGAGCCTTTCGAGAAGGACCAGATTGGCAGCAGTGCCATGGTGAGTTTGCTTGTTTCTTATGTTAGTTGGGACTTTTTGGCTGATAATCTGTAGGCCTACAAGCGCAACCCCATGCGCTCAGAGCGTCTTTGCTCGCTCGGACGTCACCTGCAGAACCTCCCCAAGGACGGCTTGGACACCTACTCCGCTCAGTGGTTCGAGCGATCTCTCGTGAGTATACACCGGACTTTCTTTAGAATCTTGTATTAACTTGTAATAGGATGACAGCGCCATCCGCCGTATCAGCATCCCGGAGCTGTACCTGACTGCTGACGCCTGTCTCATCCTCCTGAGTGAGTTCTGGGAATTATCAAAAGCTTGCATCAGGGCTAACCACTACTAGACAACGTCTCCTCCGGCTTCGTCGTCTACCCCGAGGTCATCAAGCGCCACGTCAACGATGAGCTCCCCTTCATGGCCACGTGAGTACATGTCCAACCAATCTAGTGGATATCGCTAACAGGATATCTCAGCGAGAACATCATCATGGCCTGTGTCGCAAAGGGTCTCTCCCGCCAGGACGCCCACGAGGAGATCCGTAAGTTTCTGTCCCCTCATATTTTCCCATCCGGACCGGAATTCTAACATACCCAGGTGTCCTCTCCCACCAAGCCGCCGATAACGTCAAGAAGCAGGGTAAGGACAACGACCTGATCGAGCGCATCCGCCGTACCGCGTTCTTCAACCCCATCATCCCGGAGCTGGACAATCTCCTGGATGCCAGCACCTTCGTCGGTCGTGCCCCTCAGCAGGTCGAGAAGTTCACCAGCACCGAGGTGGCCGCCGCCATCAAGCCCTACGCGAGCGCCATTGCCAAGGGCGAGACCTCTGCCCTGTACGTTTAAGGTACCTTAGTACATCCGTATTCTGTGTATCTGTTAGAATGTGAAAAGTTATATAAAAAGATGGAGATGGGAGATCTGGGATTTCCTATAGATGAAAGGGAAGGGAGTCACTGTGTATACAAATTGAATGCAAAGCATTACGTTCCACTTGTGGATATCCCTGAGGAAATTTCCCACCCCACTTCCCTGCTTCCCCGATGCCCCGCGCTGCAAATCCTCGAGGGGTTTAGATAGGAGGGGTCAATTTGTGTCATAAGACACTTAGAGTGATAAGAGGATGGAAAACAAGATTCTAGAGAAGATGATATAAGATATTCAACGCTTTTGCTGCATAAAAAAACCGACAATTGAACCGCCCAGACATGAATAAGAGAGAAGATGGAAAATGCTCAGGCTATCAGCCTGCATGGTAATCATAACTATATGCAATAGAACGCTGTGGACATGCAATCGTAACGAGAGTAATGCAAAAGGAATAAAGGAGAAGGAAAGCTGTTTGGGTCAATTGAGCGCCGAAGAGCAGATATGGTCCGTAGAGGAGTCAAGCCATTGAAAAGGAAGAGCTGGCCAAGTCGAATCCACCAGCACAATGACTGTATAGCAGAATATACCCATCTGGAACTGCCCAACAGCCATTGCCAGTGAACCGGAGAATCTCCGGAGCCGCCAACGATAATCGTAACGGCAACAAATCAAGCCTGTCATGTGGATGTATCCTCGGCGCAATCTCTCACGGGCCCAAAAAGGGATCCCCAAAAGGGCAATGCATCCCTGCCCCAAGACCTCTGACCTCTCAGATCCGAATATCCACAGAAACCAAGAAAAAAAGCCGACTTTGTCGCGCAAAAGCCCGCAATGGGCAAAAAAAACCCCACTCCGATCCAAGAGGAAATTGTTCCCCACACAGCGCCTTTAATTTTGTTCGGGTTGAGCAGGAGGGGTTCCGGACTCGGAGGGTAAGAAGAGGTCGCGGACTAGCCAGACGATATAGAGGACGGCCAGCACCCACAGGGTGGCTATGAGCTTGTATGTAGAGGAGCGCCATGTGACGCGACGGATGAGGCGACGGCCATTGGGACCTTCGATGGGGCCTCGACGAGGAGGTAAACCGTTTAACTGACCGTTAGATTGGCCGTTGGACTGCATGAAGGGATTGGCGAGGGCTTCATTAATCTCGCTGTGGGATATTCGACGGCGAGACATTTGTGTGGATTCCGGAGGGTATATGTTATATTGCTCGGAGGGGTGCCGGGGTTTTCTCCCTATGCATATGCCGGGAGAGTGTTAAATATAATAGTCACCGGTGCACGGGGTTGTCAAGGAATTGAAGAGGTGAAGATTTGAAGATTTGGAGGCTTTTAGGGCAGAGTTGATTGTTTCCCTTTTTTTGGAATTTTTTTTTTTTTTTTTTTCCCTCTTCAGGGAGATTGTGA